AAAAGTATAATGTATAGCACAGGGAAATATATACAAAATCTTATGGTAGCTCACAGGAAAGAATGTGACAGTGAATATATGTATGTTCATGTATAACTGAAAAATTGTGCTCTAACTGGAATTTGACACAACATTGTAAAATGACTATAACTCAATAAAAAATGTTAAAAAAATAATTTATTAGATAGCCTCAAATGCATGAGTTCCCAGGACTTATTTGTCTTTTATTGGAATTCAGATTAAAACAAATCTATGCTTATCAATGTAGGATAGTTTCTCTTTTGACAGTAAAATTAAATTTTACACATAAATTCTTCTGTAAAAAATATTATTCCCCTTTTATTTTTGTCCATGTTTAATAATTTTTTCGTAGCTTTTAGAATTAATATTATTGTACATAATTGTAGTAAATGAAGGACTATGTCTAATTAAAGGAAAGTACAAATTAGAGTTAAATGTGATATATTCTCTGTGGTAAAATTTTTATCAGTTTCTGAAAGTATAATTCAAGAGGAGCTGAGGAATAATGACAGTAAAAAGCAGAAAATCCTTTGAAAAATTGTTAGAAAAAGAATATGTTTTTCTTGCCAGTAAGATTCTCTTGCCCTTTGTCTCTAAGGGACTTTAAAAAAATCTTTTAGTTCAAGGCAAGTGTATGGGACTTGTGCTTCCATTTTCCTATCTTATGTCCCTTGGTTTAGTAATTCTTCTGTTTTGCATCCTCTTTTGTTTTGTTTTTAATGACTGTTGTAAACTAATCACCCCCATTCTTCTCTTTCTGTTTTAAGGTTCAAAACCAGTTAAAGTAATATATATTAATTCACCACTTCCCCAGAAGAAAATGACAATGAGAGAAAGAAATCAAATCTTCCATGAAGTTCCATTAAAATTCATGATGTCCAAAAACACATCTGTTCCAGTCTCTGCAGTATTTATGGACAAACCAGAAGATTATATATCTGAAATTGATGTATGTAGTACTTTCTTTTTGTTGTTGTTGTTGTTGTTTCTTGTTTATCCTTTTGAAACATAAAATTTTATTGCAGGTCTCTAAATCTAGTAGTTAAAAATACAGACTTTACACTGAAACTTAAAATTGAACCCAAGCATGACTTTAGGCAACTAATTTACCCTCTCTCTGCCTCGGTCTTCTTTTTACGAAAGAAAGGTGATAATACCTACTTTATAAAATTGCTGTAAGGATTAAGTTTGGTATTTATATGTCAAATGCTGACCACAGTTTTTAGTATGTATGTACTAAAAACTTAATCATGGTGATGGTTTTATTTAATTGGTCTCATTCATTTTCAAAAGTTTTTGATATGAATAGAAACAGATGAGTTTGTTTGGTGCAGAAAGTATTTGGCCAGATTGTTGACCCTTTTGGTATAAACTTAGTAGCTGAGTGACTTTTTAGACAGGCTACGTGATCTCACTGTGTCTAGTTTGCTCATCTGTAAGGTGGGTATGATGATAACCTAACTCACAGAATTATTTGGGATTAAATGAGTTAATACATGTAAATCATTTAGAACAATGCTTGGCACTTCGTAAATGCTAGCTTCTATTATTTTGTGTATTTTGAAATATTTTTCCATGGTTATTAAAATAAGGCATTCTGTGTATACAAAACTTTATTCATTGATTTCACAAATACTTATTAAGCAGATACTGTTCACATACTGAAGATATAACAATGAAGAAAAAGGAAGTCTCTTTTCTCTCAGAGCTTACATTAGTGGCAGGGGATACAGGTAATTAAAACAATAGCAAAAAAGCAGGTAGTGATAAATGCTGTGCAGAAAAATTGAACCGGTTAAGGGGGAAGATGGGAATGAGATTCATGAGCAAGAAGTCTTTTTTAAGAACAGGAAAAAATATGAACAAGGACTTGAATAAAGTGAGAGAGCAAACAAAATTGAGAAAATAAAATAATGTTTTTCTTATTTTTACGAAAGAGCTCATACTATATTAACATGTTGATCGCCCACTGTGGAGCAGGTGCCCCTGAGGAAACACAGCTGTCATGCATATTTGGCTGATACGGTGTTCAGTGTGCTAGGGATGCTGGTCTTTTGTGTTCCATATTTACTTATCTTTTTCTTGGTTTGCTATTTGCTTTTCAGTAGTTTTATAATGTGTATGTCATAAAGCACTTCCAGCTTTTCTTAAGGTTTTTGGGCGGTTTTTGTTTTTGTATTTGTTTTTTTTTTACATTTTAAAATCCACCCAAAATGTGTGTTCACATGAGGTGAAATGTCAGGAACTAATAAGTGCCATAAAGAAACATGAAGTAGGTTAAGAGAGATTAAAAAGTGACAGAGTAACTTCTTTCACTAATGGCAGACCAGGTAATTTGGGCCTTCCCCATTACTGATGATAACTAAAAAGAAAGTAGATATATTATAGAATCATCAAAGGGCTAACAAAATTGGAAGGACTTACAGAACTGAGATACTAGAGAAGACCAGAATCCAGGTTGATAAGCCTGTCACCTAGGGTAATTTTTGCCTGGAATATTATCTGCCAATTCTGAGGAAGCAACAGAATATGTGTTGACAGCATCACTGGACTAGGGTGACGAATATCAGAGTTCAGTTTTCCACCAAGAGTTTGGATCCTGCAGGGCTGTACCCCAGAAATAAATCAGTTTCTCAAAGATTGTATCCTGGTTTTTCAGGCTTTGGACTTGGATTCAGATGCTCTTTCATTGCTAGTGTTTCTGGACAGCTAGCAAAAGCAAATGAAAATAATCCTAGAGGAACACAGCATCCTTTTGAAGCTCAAATTATCTCTACAAATAACTTTTTAAATGTAGCATCCAGAACATAGTTAAAGATAACTAGACACTGGAGGAGACTAGATACTTAAGCAAGAACCATCACAAACAATGACCAAAGAAATAGACTCACAGAAATGGATCCTAGGATTATCAATCACAAACTGTGAGCCAGCTCTGTTTAATTATATGCTATGTATGCAAGGAAATAAAAGGTATGCTTGAAGATTTCAATGAGGAACTAGAAACTTCTAAAAGAGCAGATATGAAAAAGAACTAAATAAAAATCTTAAAACTAAAAAATATAGCAAGTATAGTTAAAAAGTCTATAAAGGGGGTTATTAGCACATTAGATAAAACTGAAGAGAGAATAAACTAGAAGATGGGTCTGAAAAGACTATAATGAAACAAAGACAACAAGAAGATAGAAACTGTGGAGAACAGGCAAGAGGTACAGAGAGTATAGTGGGGATGTCTAACATGCATGTACCTGCACCCAAAAGGTGTATAAGAGATAATGAGACCAAATCATACTTGGAGACAATGAAATAACTCTTGAAAGCCACCAGAGAAACAAAAGGCGCGTATACTATGCAGGCCTGAGAGTCAGACTGGCAAGTAACAACAACAATGGACTCCAGAAGACATTGGAACAATATATTGTGCTGAGAGAAAATAACGCTCTTACTAAAATTGTCTAACCAGTGAAAATATCCTTAAATAACTAAAAAAATTAAAGATTTTTTAGGTAAAAACTGAGTTTGCTACTAGCAGACCCCCTCTACTGGATGTTCTTTGGGCACAAGGGAAATAACCCCACACAGAAGGAAGTTGGTGAAAGATGCAAGAACAAATGAAGAATAACAAAAGTCAGAATGATGTGGGTGGGCTCTAACTTGTAGGTGAGTGCAGGGACACTCCCGAAGTTAAAATAGGTCTGCGATGACCTAAGCACTAAGAATTCTAGAAACTAACCAGCCAAAGTCCCTTCCAAAACTAAAGCCTTCATCAGAGAAAACTCCTTAGTGGTAAAAAGTCCATATTGAGCAGAACAAGGACATTAAAGATAAAGAGAAGACAGGTTTTCAGATAACTGTGGGAGAGGGGACTAGAGGAGGCAGATCTCAGAATACACTAAAGATTTTGTATGTACACGCAGACACACAGCCCCACATGCTTATACACAGTACACACGTCGTGGTAACAATGAAGCATGAGTTTAGAGCCATGAAGCTAAGAAAGCTATGCTGTTACACCACCCTGCCCCTCACAGGATTATCTTCCTACAGAAGCAGGAAAACCCATCTCAATTAACCATAAGGAACAGAAGAGGATTATTGATGGAAGCTCTCACAGAGTTATTAGAAGAAAGAAGATAATTGCTGTAGCATTTTTGTCAGATAAAGACAGATGTACCCACAGAACAGATGAAAACTAATGTGTTCATCCTTTGCCCTAGAAATCTAACTTCTAGAAGTGTAGCTCAGAAGTATATGAGGAAAAGAATAAAATGTTTGTGCAAGGTATTCATTGCAGCTATAAAGTATTCATTAGAAATAGTTCTCATGTCCCTTAATAGGTTGTTGATTAAATAAACTGTCCATCCTCAGTAGCATACAGTGCAGCGGCTACAGGCATACCATGTTTTATCACACATTGCTTTATTGCACTTTACAGAGAATGTGTTTTTTTACAAATTGAAGGTATGTGGCAACCCTGCATGAAGCAAGTCTGTTGGTGCCAGTTTTCTAGCAGCATTTGCACACTTCGTGTCACTGTGTCACATTTTGGTCATTCTTATAATATTTCAAACTTAATTATACTTGTGGTGGTGATCTGTGATGAGTGATTTTTGATGTTACTACAACTTGAAGGCTCAGATGATGGTTAGCACTTTTTAGCAGTAAAGTATGTTTTAATTAAATTATGTACATTTTTTAAAGACATAATGCTATTGCGGATGTAGTAGACTACAGTATAGTGTAAACATAACTTTATATGCACTGGGAAACTAAAAAAATTCGTGTGACTCACTCTTTTGTGATACTTGCTTTATTGTGGTAGTCTAGAACCAAACATGCAATATCTCCAATGTATGCCTATAAAAGGAAACAGAAAGCTCTAGATATGCAACTATAGTGTGATGCCCAAGATATATTGTTAAGAGAAATGTTCACTCCAAGAAGAATTAAGTGACTGTACATCCCTAAAGATTTATATCCTGAGTTCAAAGAGAATTGCCAAAAAGATCTTAAACTGCATTTGGTACTCATATTGTTAGTAATGATACTGCTGCTGTTAATTTGAACACATTATATAGTATGATAAAGCCAATAAGTACTTATGTTTATATTAGAAACCAAAAATTTTAGCATAAGAGATAAACAAATGCCAATCAAAGAAGTAAAAACCCTGTAATGGAATTGTGTTAAACAGATGCCAGTGCCAACTTGAAGGATTTCCCATTGGCCAGAGATGTGTCAGTTTGACTGTGACAAAATGGCTGCAGTGGATGGAAACATATGAAATATGTTAAATTCCATGGATACATAATGATACTTTTTAAAAAAAGGTTTACTAATTACCTTTGGAGAATTCTAGTGTGTAGTCATTATTTTGAAAACTGATTTTTAAAAATTCAAATATTTCTCTTTGCCTTTCTAGTACAAACAATATCTCAGGGTAATGATAGACCATGACTGTAACAATTTTGCACCTCCTAATGAAGTAGTGAATCTAGGCAGTGCTCATCATCAGTGACTGCTAGAATCATTAGAAGATCAGTAAGGAATTTTAATGGATAGATTAGACTGATGACACTTGAATGAACAGAACAACTGTAATATCACAGGAAGAAATACAATCAGACACAGCCTCCTGGTTGAAGTACATGGTACCACATACAACATATTCAGATTTTTTTTAATGTGCCTGAATCTGATCAAGCTACTAGATCGTTTTAATAGGAAATCTAGGGGATAGACGAATGTATTAAATGACCTCATGGGGATGCAAGAGTTAAGATCCAGGATGTGGAAATTTTTACAGGATAACTAATCTGGTTTCTTCTACAAATATCTAATGTATGTGAAAGTTGGCAAAGTATAGGAAGAGGCATTTGACAAATTAAAGAAAATTGAGAAATGTCAACCAAATGCAGTGTAGGCATCTTGGTTGGATCCTGATTCCAATAAACAATTGTAAAGAAATTTATCAGACTAGGAAATTTTAACACTGGTTAGGTATTTCATGACATTAAGGAATTGTAATAATTTTATTGATGTAATAAACATGTTTTACAGAAGAATTTTAAGTACATACTATTTACAGGTAAATGATATTTTTAAGTTTGTCCAAATTTGTTCTGTCAGCGGTGAGAACATTGTTTTTTAGGTCGTTAATTTTGGTTTTATATTTATGAAATTTCTTCATTTTATTGTTATGATTCTATTGTTATTTTCCTATTTCTTGAAAAGGCTATGAATGGTACTTCTGATTTTTAATGTCCAGTGTTCTAATTCTTAAGTATTTTGGAATTGTCACTTTAATTTCTTCTTATATCCAACAATTTGAGGTGTTCTTCAGTTCCCAAGTACTTGGGTTTATTATTATTTGTTTACATTTTTCTTAATGATTTCTAACTTTATTTCCTTCTAAACAGAGTAAGACCTTAGCAGATTTTGCTTTGTGCTATATTGATGTTTTCTCTGTATATTAATTTATAGTCCGTCTTGGGAAATGCCCCTTCGATTCTTGGGAGGGAAAAGGTGTATCTTTGTAGTCTATATGTATGTTCTCAGTCATTCATGTATTGTTGTTTCAGTCATTAAATATGATTCATACTTTCTACACCTCTATTAATTTTTACTTGGATACAGTGTATCATTGACCAAGTACAGTTGTGTTTCTGTCAAATTTTTTGTTTGTTTTTCAGTTTTGATGATTTTGATGTTATTTGGCACATCCCAGTTCATTATCCATCATGGATTTGATCTTTTTTCAACATAGGATTCCTTTTTCTATCTAATGCTTTTTGCATTGAATTCCACTTTGTCTAACACTTAATACTGCTATTCCTTCTTTATTTCTTGATGTCATGTCCCATTCTTTTCTTTTGAACCTTTGTGTAAGAATGCTTCATGTAAACAGTACATAGTTTAATTTTTTTTTACTAAATCTGGTAGTCCTTATTTTAGTAAGTGCTTCCATTTACTGCGAAACTACTTACTATGCCAAGAAGCTTTATATAATTTCTCATTTAATCCTTAGAACAAATCTGAGGGTGACCCTATTATGTCTATTTTAGAGATGATGAAATTGATTTTCAGAGAGGTAAAGTAATTTACACAGGTAGATCTTTCTTACTTATTGCCTGAAGCTGTTGAAGTATTTGTCTCCCAAACCCTAAACTGTTAGGCAATTCTATCAGATTTATCTAAAATGCTCTGCTAGATTGAGGAGAGATGTTGCTGCTTGGGGAGAAGACAGTTTATTGCTAAATAACTTAAAAATGTCTGTAGTTCTTCCACTACCAAAACAGTATAAGCAAAACTATCACCTCAGGAGCTTCATGTCCCAGAATGCAATAAAACCACTTCCTGTCCATTTCTCCTCATATTACTGAGAGTTGTCCTCCCTGAGTAGATACAGAAAGAAAGTCGTTGATTGATGTTAGAGGGTGGTGATACTTCCCCAGCCATGTTAGAAAGCAGCTTCCTGACAGCAGCCAAGAGGCTTTCCTCCTGGTCAGCTAAGTCCCTGCAAGAGTGTATAAAGTGAGTGTGAATGAAAAATCTACTGTTTTTCTGTTTAGCCTTACATTTCTTCTTTGTGATCCTGTCTGTTTTTTGATTAGTGGAATCTCTCTCGAGCTGTAGTAGTTCGCCTGTGTTTCCCATTTCCTTCATCAACATTTCAATGGGAAGGTAGGGTTAAATAAATTAGTTGATAATAGTTTGTCAAAGCAATAATCTTTCAAAGCAATTAGATTTTTCTTTTTGCTTTTAAAGAGCATGAACTATGTATGTGATAGGACATTAATAGGTGAAGGATGGCCTGGAATTTTTGCTAATGGTTTGCCAATATATTTTCTTAAGACGTCTTATGAAGTTAATGAATGCCGAAAAATTGAAACCCTTGAAAATTTGGATCTGGATTTTGATGATGATGTCACAGAACTTGAAACTTTTGGAGTAACTACCACCAAATCGTCAAAGTCACCAAGTCCAGCAAGCACTTCCACAGTACCCAGCACAACAGATACGCCCATAGCCCCCAGCACGGCAACCACATCTGTAGCACCAAATGCACCAGACATTTCTGCTCACTCTAGAAGTTTATCTCAGATTCTGATGGAACAGTTGCAAAAGGAGAAACAGCTGGTGACTGGTATGGATGGTGGCCCTGAAGAGTGCAAAAATAAAGATGATCAAGGATTTATACCATGTAGTGAAAAGGTATCAAATTCTGACAAGTCTTTGGTGCAAGAAGATAACTTGAAAACATCCGATGCCTTTCAGTTAGAAAGTTCTACAGAAGTGGAAACTTCTAATGAAAATGATATGGCCACTGACATGGAGTGTGTTGGTGAAGCACTGAATGTTGTAGAGAACACAGACAATAATTCAAAGGAAAAGACTGTTACATCAGAAGCAGCTAAAACTGAAGATGTAGTTCTTTGCAATAGTGATACAGATGAAGACTGTTTAATAATTGATACAGAATGTCAAAATAATAGTAATGGAAAGACAGCCGAAGTGGGTTCTAATTTAAGTTCTAAGCCAACTAGCCTGAATTCTTCCTCAGGACAGGCTTCTGTAGGAAACCAGACTAATACTACTTGTAGTCTTGAAGAATCATGTATTTTAAAAAAACCTATCAAACGAGTATATAAAAAATTTGATCCAGTTGGAGAAATTTTAAAAATGCAAGATGAACTCTTAAAGCCAATTTCCAGAAAAATACCTGAGTTGCCTTTAATGAATTCGGAAAATTCTAAGCAGCCTCCTATTTCTGAGCAATCCTCTGCTCCTTCAGATGCCTCTGGTTGGCCAAAATCTATATGGCCTTCTGCCTTTCAGAAGCCAAAAGGACGTAAGTAAATATTTTCAAAGAATTTTATATTAACTGTTTGCCTGTACCTTATCCTCGATTTTCTCCCTCATCCCCTCACTTTCTATTTATTGTAACATGTTTTCTCTTTGTTATAATATCTTTGCATAGTCATTGATATTTTATTTTTCAATCTACTGTTCAGTATTTCAGCTTTTAAAACCTTCAGTCTAAAAATGTGGATGGATTTTTGTAACCTAAGTTATCCAACGTGTACAGTGGCCACTAAGCTACAGATAATGGACTGTAGGACGAATTTGATAAGTTATCATTTACCAAAAATAGTCATAACTATTTATTAGTCTAAATGTATTCCTGGTGTTGGGCTACAGTCTTGTACTTTTTCATTTTGTGAAATAAATACAAAGCTGCAGCTCAGCTCTGCCAGGATTATGAATAACACTACTTTTTAAGGCTTTTCTTTCTTCTCACTTCATCTGCTGTCTCACTAGTTTATACTTTGCCTAGGGTAAGTGAAAGCAGTAGTTAAAAGAAAGAGAGCCTTCAATAAAGCTTTGATTTTAGCTCTTGCTGGAGTTCTAGTAAAAGTAAACAGAAACGGTACTAGTGTGATGGTCAACTCAGAGGAAGTAGAAAGCTGATAGTTGAATTGTTTTATCCTGAATTATGATGGATAAAGGGCTAATGTATTTTAAAATAAAAATGAGAAATATAATTATTTTTAAAGGATTGCCATATGAACTTCAGGACTATGTTGAAGATACTTCGGAATATGTGGCTCCTCAGGATGGAAATTTTGTTTACAAGCTGTTCAGCCTGCAAGACCTGTTGCTACTTGTGCGATGCAGTGTCCAGAGGATAGAGACCAGACCACGTTCCAAAAAGCGGAAGAAAATCAGAAGAGTATGTAGTTACTTGGGGAGTTAGGATGTAATAGCATAAATAGATAATTAGCAAATATTTACATGGCGTTGTTATGAAGTTTAGTGTTAAATTGTTGGTTACTCTTACAGTAGATTTTCCACATGAAATACTGAAAACACTTTTAATAAGGGAGAGTGTTTACTTAAACCTAACAGTCATTAGTACTGGTGACATTCTTGCATGGAATAGATAAACTATGTGAAAAAGGCACCATTGTAGATTTGACCTAGGTTGGCACACATATTCCAGCTTTCTCTGTGAATTTGGATTTCCATTATGACATATTGGCCCCTTTCTTTCTTTCTTTGAGAATTTTCTTGAGTCATTTTAGAAGTTCAAGTTTTAAAAGGTGGGCTTTCATGCACATTTGAAATGTCTTCTCAGGATTGTTGGAAGACCAAGTGTCTTCCTTTCATTTTCCCCTGTTGTTTCTTTTGGGATTTGATATAAATGTTTTTCTCGGTTAAAAAAAATTTTTGCCACAATTTGAGTGATTGGTTCTTTGAGCAGTTTTCTGCGTTTGATATTTGAAGTTCTTTTTCAGATTAGTTTGAATTAGTTTGATTGTGTGTGTGTGTGTGTAACCACTGAATTCTGGTTAATAAAGAGGAGCTTTTGTGGTATAATTGATTGCACAAGAAGTAGTGCTAAGTCTCTCCTTTAACTTTTTCTTTAGAGAATTTTTCCTGTGATGTACATCTGTCATAGCATACCCTTCTTTCCTCCCTCCCTTCCTTCTTCTTTTTCTTCTCTTCTTCCTTCCTTCCTTTCTGTTTTGATATCTCTGTTTCTTGCTGTTTGACCTACCACCCAACAAGAATCCTCAGTGACCACTTTAGAACATCAGTGTGTTTTTGGCCAGGGAACAGGTAAATCAAGAACAGTGATGTTCTAGCACTGACCCTTGTGGGTCAACTTCCTGACTTTGCCTGGTCATATTAAGGTATAACGGAAAAGAAAAGAAAAGAAAAAGAAGTACCTACCTTTCTCAGCTGCCAATAGCAGCAGAGGGAGAGTCTGTCATGAAAAAATGCTAAAGCCAGTCCATCAGGGTCAAGGATGTGTACTTTGTCCACCAGAATCCAATGCACTTAGTGGATCTTTGCCTTGATGGCACTTTTATCCTTAGAAGGAAGATTGTTAATAAAATTTTAAGTTTCTAATTCTCATAATTTGGTTTCATCATTGATTCAGACTTGAAATTTTAGAAACTAAATAGTTTTGAATTAAATGTATGGGGGAGTGTTTTTTTGTAAGAGAATCTCAAGGAATGATAAAATACTATGGGTCTGATATTAGTCTCCTTCTAGATAAATACAAATACTCCTTGTAGTAAAAGATTTTACTTTATTTGCTAATTTTTCTAATCTTACCTATATTTAACTGTGATGAATTTAACGGGCATAGCACGAACACATGAACATCTTGAATACATATAGTGTCAGTGCTGTGGATTATATTTTCAGAATTTTATTTCATTATTTCTTACTTGGTATCTGATTTATTTGGGCGCTAAACTCATTTCTTTTACATTCTACCCTCTGAGCCCATACCACTCTGTATTGATCTACCAGCTTATAGCACTTAGAAATTATTGATGGCCAGGATCTCTTCAGTGAGAACAGCCTAGGGATATTTTTGACACTGATTTAATTCTTAAAAAAGACAAACTGTTAAGAACATGGTCATTCACTTGACTAAAGTGAAATTACTAAAGTAAATGTTAAGACAAAACTTTACAGGAGACAATTCATTCTTCATCAAAATATCAGAACAGTCAAGTCCCAAAGAATAGCTGAACAGGAGCCTTATCTTTCCAGTTGTGTTAATCCCAGAATAAAATTTTAAAATTCTCAGTGAATGCTTATCATATTGTACCTGTCAGTATGTGTAATAGTTTAGTACACATGGTTTAAATTCCCTAGTAGAATGTATTCCCTTTGGAATCATCTCCTATTTATCTGTTTCTCCCAATTTTTTATTCCATAGGAACTTAATAAATAGGTATTGAATAAATGAGGAAAACTGGGGTAAGAAGAGAGGACCATGTTGTTAAGGAAGGGAAGTTGAGGCACTAGTTGAGAAATTTTAAAGCAGCACTGTTTAAACTCTAATTAGGTAAGAATGCATCTTCATTAATGTTTCCTACTTCAAAATCAACTTGTTTAGATAAAGTTTTAAAATATTCAGAAGACTTTTCAACCCCTGTTGTCCAAGAACCTTATCAGTTTTTTTCCTTTGGTTCTTCCATCCTGTGTTATCACAGTTGAGATTTTAGTTTCCAATATCATTTATCCTTCCTCACCAAAATTCTGCTTAATAAGAGCTGCAGGATAGAGGAGAACCTAAAACAGCAGCCAATTTCAAATGCTGGAATGAAATAAAGAGGGCTAATTTGGACCACAAGTTGGAACTGCAACTTCCTGTTCTACATATAATTACGAAATCCAGACCAAGTACCTTTGAATAATTTAACATTATTTCATTGTCTGTCTCAATCAGATTTCCTAAGAGCTATATTCTAAAGTGGGTCAAAAATTCAGATCCAGTTATTTTAAAGTTTATATTGCCATTCTAGGGCCAAAAAAAAGGATCCTGACAATTCTTGAGTATTAGGAAAGAACAGAATATACCTATTGGGGTTAATGACAGGATACTAGCTATGAAATATCTATTTGGGAATGTATGTAAAAGTTTGAAAGGCTTGTGTGAAAAACTGAAAGACAGAGAACCATGGCAAAGTTTCACTTAGGGAGAAAAGGAGCTACCAATCAAGGGATAAAGGAAATGTAAATTTAATTTTTATAATTTGAAAACTTTGTACTTAAAATTTCACTTTAATTTTGCAATACTAAAATAAAACATTCAGATTTTTCTTTCCATTGGCTTCCTGGAGATGGCAGTAGAATACGTACAGAAATTAATACTAGATTCAGGACTTCGTTTTGTAGATATAGCAGTATTATCAAAGAAAACCCCCCCAGAGTAGTTTCTTCAGAAAGAGTGATATTTTTTAATTTGAAAAGAAATCTAGAATTCCATTACCTATTCATGATCCAAAAGGGGATCTTTTTTATGTATTATTCTTTTTCCAACTCTGCTGTAAACTGGCTGTGTGCTCTTGAGCAGATATCTCGACCCTCTGGGTCTTCATTTCTTTGTATCTGGCTTCTGTTTGCAGCTATAAGAAACTGTAAGTGCATATTACCAGTTGCTGAAAAATTGTTATACAGTTAAATGCTTTTACAATAAAATAATACTAATCATAATTTTTTTTTTAATTAAGAAGACACTGTAGGGAACTTACTACTCAAAAGTTTGGCCCCTGAAACAACAGCTTGTTAAAAATGCAAAGCCTCCGTTTTCACCTTAGATTTTGCATTTTAACAAAATCATCAGGTTACTCATATGCGTATTGAAATTTAAGAAGCACTGCTTTAGAGTCTTACAACATTCAAAGGTAATAATGAACCAAAGTTATTGTTAACAGAAATTTTGCTGGGTTTGGATTGTTTTTAATCACCACCATTATGCCAAGCCCACTTAATGTACCACTTTGTGAAAATCAGGAATTCTGAAACATTTATGAGATATTTTCAAGTATAAAAATGGTGATAGCTTGGTATAATTTCAGAAGTACTAACTAGCCATATCACTTTAAGTTCCAAAAATCATGTGTGGAAATGAAGAGACTGCTGTTAAGGGTAGAATTTTACGTGACAGAAATGAGGTAGCATGAGCACGGTGAACACGACTAGTGTTATAGGATTTCACAACGTGCGTCTCCTGACGTTTCCTTTAGACTGGTAATGGGTTCCGTCATTTTCCTAAATCTCGTTAGTGTCCTGACCAGCAAGCTCTAAATGGATGACTTGCCAAGTACTTAGTGTCTGGAATAAAGCCTTCATATTAGTGAAAGTAGCAACATTCACCGATGTTAGTGTAGATATTAGTGCTCATACACTCAAGGATTGAAAACAAGCTGCTCAGAGTATATAAGCCCGAGACAGTGTGACTAATGCTTTAAAGAGACCAAAAATTCTTACCTTTTTTATCCTCTTGAGAATTATTAGTATATATTAGTCTTGGCTTCCCAGCTTCTAGCTTTTAACCTTTAGCTAATTATGTGTCCCAGGTTCTGCTCCAAGGATTCTGTCAGTAGTCACATTCCGTGACAGAAATGGAATGTGTGCATGTGTAGGGAGGTATGTTGATCTTCGTTGGGGGTGACAGAGGCTGTTGGTTCAAGACCTCCTGTTTACCCACCTCTTGTCCACTTCTACAAAGAGTTCTGTCCCTCTCTCTGTCTGAATCCCAAAGGGTGAAGTAGAATTGCCTGAAAGCATTCTGAAAGGGGCAAAATTATATAGGCTATTATATTTGCTATTCATGGTAAATTAATGGAGCTTTCTAAAAGTATAACCTTGCACTGCAGCAATTTCCAGTTTATGTGCTACCGAAAGTGGAGTATCAGGGTTGCTACGGAGTTGAAGCTCTGACTGAAAGTGAACTTTGTCGCCTGTGGACTGAAAGTTTATTGCATTCCAACTGCTCATTTTATGTTGGTAAGTTATACAAGAGGCTTTGCTCTCCTTTTTAATTCCCTTGTATATACATACAATTCAATTTATGTATAAGTATTTCCATTCCGTACTTTTTATTTTCAGTTTTCTAATTGTGTTAACACGTCTTTCTATTAAAACACCATTCCTACTCCAGTGCTAAATGACAGGGTGGGAGCAGCGATTATCAAATGTTTTAATTTCCCTCTTATTCCCTTATTAATTGTACACGAACATCACTGTAATCATTCTTTTCTTAAAATACTTAATTTATTTAACAGTGTAACTAACTAAAAATATATGTATGTTTTCTAACAAGCTTTTATTTTTTTTTTGGTAACAGCTGAACACAACATACATTTATTGTCTCACATTTCCATGGGTCAGGAGTTCACGAATAAGTATCTGGGTCCTATGTTCGTGGTCTCACTAGGCTGAAATCAGAGTGTTCACTGGTAGTGCAATGTTGTCCAAAGCTTGGGGTCCTCTTTCAGACTCACTTAGGCTATTGGCCGAATTCATTTCCTCTAACAAACTTTTTTAAAAAGTACTATTTAATTGGTTTCAGTGTATTTTGAAATTTTCTTAAAATTATAATGACATTGTTTTTTTAAATCTCAAATATCTTGATGAACTTTTCTCGAGTTTGTTTTTGTTTTGTTTTGAGGGGATAGTTAGGCAGGGACTTACTTTGTGTTGGCTGGGTTCACGTACAGTTAACATCCTTCACGTGAAGGGTTACTGGCTGATCAGTATTGATACTGTTCCGTTCCACTGGAATGCCTAATCCTGTACTTCTCAGTTCATCCTATACGTCCTAATCCATGCCAGGCATCTCAGGATGCCCCTCCACAATGTCATTTCCTTCCCTGGATTTCTCAGTGTATTGTCTTTTTTACGACTCTTATGACTTGTTGCTTTCTAGTTTATTGTTCTTTTTTAAGTCTATCCTCTTTTCTCCTTAGACAAAACTAGTTTAATGTCAGAGCCTGATGAAATTTTATATTCTTGCAGTGCTTAGCATAATTTCTGTTACACAATAAGCGTTATATGTGTGTTTTTCTTGCTTAATCAATAAAGGTTATCACTTGAAATTTTTTTCCACATTTTAGCTAATCAGTATTTTATCTTCATATCTTAAGAGAGTGTTAATAAGATCTTTGATATACTTTCTCTGCTTGGCCCTACTTAGGGAAGTGGCTAAATGCACTACTTGGTGATGCACTAGCTTCTTCCTCCCCCTTCATACATAATGCTGGAAGTTTGTTGTCATAGTTCTCAGCCAGTGACCACAATTTCAGCATTCTTTCAAAAAGACCTGTTGCAATGAAATGCACCAACAGTCTTCATGTACTACTAGCAGGCTATTGCCAGCCACATCAATTTTAGTTAAGGACCAAAGAAAAACTTACCGTTGAAATCTTTTTTAAAGTACTGGCAGAATAGATAGTCCTGACTAAAACATTTATAGTTTTTTTTTAATGTTTAACAGATAAAGCTACCATCATCAATATGCCTTACTTTATCAAAAGTACAGTAGTCTCCCGACTTAATTGCAGTTTTGTTCTCCAGCAGCTTGTTACCCCTCAGTCAACCATAGTCCGAAAACATGAAATAGAAAATTCTGGAAATAATTCATAAATTTTAAATTGCACACCATTCTGTATAGTGCCTAAGGCATGGACCATCCCTTTGTCCAGCGTATCCTGCCCATCAGTCACTTAGTAGCCGTCTCAGTACCAGATCTATAGTCGAGGTATCGCAGTGCTTGTGTTCAAGTAACTCTTATTTTACTTATTAATGGCCCTGAAGTGCAAGAGTGTAAGATGCTGGCAATTTAGATATGCCAAAGAGAAGCCACAAATGGCTTCCTTTAAGTAAAAATGTGAAAGTTCTCAACTTAATAAAAGGAAAGAAAACAATTCATGTGCTGAGGTTGCTAAGATCTGTGGTCAGAACAAACCTCCTGTCTGTGAAATTGTGAACAAGGAAAAATATATCCATGCTTGTTTTGCTGTCACTCCTCAGCCTGCACAAGTTATGAGTACTTAGTGAAGATAGAAAAGGCATTACATTTTAAAAATATTTCGAGAGAAAGAGACCACATTCAGAAAACTTTTGTTATAGTATATTGTTAAAATTGTTCTGTTGTATTATTGTTGTTGTTCATCTCTTACTGAGCCTAATTTATACGTTAAACTTTATCATAGGTATGTACAGGAAAAAGCAGTATATGTAGAGTTTGGTACTATCCTCAGTTTCAGACATTCACTGCAGAGTCTTGGAACGTATCACCTTGTGAACATGTTGGAACTCCTGTATTCTTTAGTCCTAAGTAATCATTTCACTATGTAACTTTATCGTCAGTAAATCCTATCCACTGATAACCCATTCATTTTAATGTAATGGGATGGTGTATTTTGTATCTTAGACACCTGTTTTTTGAGAAACTTATGTTGTATTGTAACATGGTTGTGTTTTCTTTGGGTGTCTTTGAGGTTTTTTTTTTTGTCTTCTTGTGTAGGAGTAAATATGTTTTGAAATGCTATTTTAAAAGCATTTATGAGTTTTGAGGTTTATTTTGAATGTTGTTATATTACTCTTTCAACTTAAGAAAAATGTTGCAACAGGAAGGGAGTGTAGGAGAAAGGACTCCTAAATAAGTTTTTATTATAGTTACTTTCTGGAAATAGGATAAAAACAGAAAGCTGCAGTTTGTTATAGTGTCTGGGGTGACTGAGTATAGTTAAAACAAGTTACGTATCAGATGTGACTATAAGGTAGTATGTGTGACTCATTACTTAGTCTCTTTTTTAAAGTTCTGTCTAACATCATGTAGAGTTAGTGGTTTTAGTTTTAAAGGAGAGCACCTGTCAACAGATGGTCAAGATATTTATATTTTATAGGGCATCTTAGGACATCTGGCTTCAGAAGTATTTATTACTGCCCTTTGACATCTAAATAACTAGCTAATTGAAAATTATTTTTACCTGTATGATATTTCACTTATTATGAGTTATAGTATGAACTTAAAAGCAGTAATGTGTTTCTTTTCAAACGTTTTGTTGTTTGATCTTCTGTGTGTCGGTCTCCCTTCCCTTGCTACTCTAGTCCTCCTAGCTTCGCCTCCTCCAGACTCCCAAGATACAGCTCTTAGCATATTGCTGGAGGTTTTGTTTTGTTGTTTTTCTCTCATTTTTGTTCTTTATGTACGTACTACTCAAATCAAATTATATATTACATTTGAAATGCTCCAAAATCATCCTTAGAAGCTATTAAATGTACATATGTATGTATATATATGTGTATGTGTATATACATACACACACATATATACACACACACACTTATATTTATGTATTTGTGTATGTTATAAAATAATTCAGTAATACTCTAACTCATTTATGAAGTATGTACTGAGGGTCAAGGACTATATATTCATTATTACTAATCCTTACTATTCTGTAGAATAGATGATGTTTATCTTTGTTTTACAGAGGAGGAAACTGAGGCTAAGAGAGAGATTATTGCTCAAGATTACACAATTTGTGGGAAATCCAGAATTTATATCCATATCTTTTCTGATTCCACTATAATGGAATGTAGAAAGCAAGCTGACTGTGGGAGTCAAAAGATAAGTGTATGAGCACTTCATATTTTATAGTTATTTTACCTTGGGTAAAATCATTTACGTTCTCTAGACCTCAGCTTTTTCATCTGTATATAGTGGCCATAATAATATTTTGTTCAGTCTACCTCAGGGACTGTATACACAAATCCTTTTTATTACAATGATTACATAATGTATTGCCCTAGAAGTAGACGTCTCCTTAATGAAGATAGATACCTAAAGACAAGGAAGTAATACCGTGTATATTTTTGTACTGAGAAAAAGATGAAAATATGAAAATAATCTTTATGATACCAGAATAGGAAAGAATTTCTTAACCAAAAATTAAAAGAAGACTAGTTGGGGTAGTGGGGAGGGTATAACTCAGTGGTGGAGTACATGCTTAGCATGCACAAGGTCCTGGGTTCAGTCCATAGTACCTCCATTAAAAGAGTAAGTAAATTAAAAAACTGAATTAACCCCCAAAATTTTAAAATAAATTAATTAATTAAAGGAGACTTCAAAAACCTGATAACGTCTGTATACTTACACATAATTTTTAAAATGTTTATGTGGTGCTCCTTCAGTCCTAAGACACTGTCAGTAGTAAAATATACCTTTGTTTTGATATGTTTTTCCCTTTGATTTTTAGCTTTTTAAGTGTAGCAATCTACATTCAGAAAAGTGAAAAAATTATAAATATACTTTACAGCTCAAGGAAGTATAACAAACCAGCACCTCTTAACTAGCAGCCAGATCAAGATGTTGAAAACTACCAGTGCCCAGGAAGACTCCCCTTGTGACACTTCCCAGTCTTAGCCTTTTTCCTCTCCTGCAGTGGTCACCACTATACTGGCTTCCAGTGTAATCGTTCTGTTTTTGTCAGCTCTATACAAGTTAAATCCTAAAGTAGTACTCTGTTGTTTATGCCTTCTTTTACTAACATATTTTTTGAAATTTATACATTTTGTGTATAGCAGTAGTTTATTTTTATTGTTTTTGACATACTCCTTTATAAGAATATATCACAATTTATTAATCCACTTAACTTTGGGAGCCTGCTGGGGTTGTTTCCATGTTAATACAACTATGAACATCTTGTAAATGTCTGTTAGTGCAGTGTGTACACATTGCTGTTGTGTGTCTACCTAGGAGTGGAATTACGGGGTCGTAGCTTAAGCATCCATTCATCTTCAGTAGAGAATTCTAGAAAGTTTCCCCAAGTGGTTGTGTCGCTTTACATTTACATTAGCAGTATGTGAGGGTTGCAGTTTCTCCACAGCCTTGTCCATACTTGGTCTTATCAGTTTATTTAATTTTATCCATGCTGGTAGGTAGATATTGATAATACCTCATTAATGTTTTAATTTGCCTTTCCTTGGTTATTTAGGAA